TTAAAATACCATGTAAAAATGGCCTGGCCATACCCTGAAGGAAGTGTTTCAGGCTTTATTAGTTCCTTTCTAACCATTAAATACCATATATCTGACAGTCTCAGTACACACTTTGATAGTTTCCAAAAGTAATTTGTGGTACACAAGATTACTTTTAAATCTGTTAGAAGACATTCTCATAGCAACTTTAAAAACTTTCTTGGAATGCATAGAGGAATCACTTTTAATGTTGCCTGCTTCAATATCTTGAAAATCTTTTGCTACTTTTCCAACAAATTATTTGTAAAAATCCATTTTGTAATTATATTTGGCTATTAACTAGAACTGTTCATATATTTTATTTTTAAGATAGTATTTCCTTTTTCTTTGTTGTCTCTAATTCACAAACTTTATATATACTATCATTAAATTTTTCACTATTTTCATCTCCTCTGTATCACTAACTTGTTCCTGGAAACTAAATGTGACCAGAAATTTTCACTTACATGTGTGTACTATACAAGATGCACAAGTAACTGAGAACAAATTAAAATTAAAAAAAAAAAAAGAAAAACATTTCAATAGAATAAAAAGTACATTTTCAGAAAAAAGAATTTGTACACATGTTCAACTAAGAGGAGAAAAAACACAAGAGGTAATTCTATAAAACGGTCCTCAGCCTCAAAAGTAACTGCATGCCAATATCAGATGATTCTTGTTTAGATTGAACTTCATGGCAGCTTTCAATCAGTTTTTGGTATTGTGTGGGCATTGGTTGGTCTCTATCTTGACAATATTCAAGATATAATAGTCTAATCAGGGGAGCTTGGAGGTCACATATTGCTGGTGACAAGATTATGAAAATTCTAAACCAGCCACTCCTGTGTCACATAGGCTATGTAGGAGGAAGGAAAGATGAACAGCCATTATAATATAACTATATGCATATTCTAGTCATTAAACAAATGTCTTTTCCGTGCCAGGTATTTCTTGGATAATGCTTTTCACAGCTCTTTACTAAACGCCATCATTGTAATTTTAGTTGTGTGAAATAAAACCATTATTTTGACTAATATTTTTTTTTCCTTAGTAATTTCAGAAAATTTTAAATTTGTTTTTACCATGAATATTTTGCAACTTCTGTATAGGAATTTCTTTCCTTTTTATTAAGTCAAGAATTTTTTGCTTAAAGGAACCAATTTATGACTTATCTTTGAAATATCAGAAGTGTTTGCATCACTACTCCTGTGCTTTGTTGTCATTCTTAATATCCAATTATTAATTTAAGGCAAATACTAAACCTTCAACACTGATATTTCAGGTTGAGCACTGTTTTACTACACACCACAAGACTGTTTAATGGCAAAGGAGATGCAAATCCTCAAGAAACATTTCAATAGTCAATAATGAAACTTTTTTTTTTTAATTTGGATTATTCACTTCAGGATCTAGTGTCCTCCATACATTTGATTTTATATATATCTTAAAAATACTATTATTAGTAGTATTTAAGATTTATGTATTTTTTGTTGCTTGTTAAAATATAAGCAACAAAAAAATATACATAATCTTAAATCTTTTGAATTATATTTTGCAAAGTATTTTCAGTTTAATAAATTTGGAACACAAAAGCTGGGCCAACATAGGATAAGTGAAACTGCAGTTGGCAATTCTGCAGATGATGAGGTCCTACTGTAAAATATCTCACATATGGAAAAGATTTTCAAATGTCATTTCACATTTTTAATCCATTATCAACCTTGGCAAGAAACTGATTGAATTTACAGAAATTAATGACAATCAAAACAAATCTTACCTATGTAAACCAATAGCAACACAACATTTTGCAACTTAAACTATTTATACACTTATATATAATACAAAAATGTTTACTTTCAATGAATCAGTTGACAATCATTAAAGCAGGATAATAACAAAATGCATCTGGTTATAAACAAATACTTTAATATTGTCTTAGTCCCAGTCTGATTGTATATAAAAGATAGAAGACAGATTTCTGCATTAGATATTAAATATTTGATCATCTGTTTTATTGGTCAGATAGTATCAATGATTTTCTTGGGCTTCTAATAGTCAAAAAGAATTTTCATTTACTATTTATCCAGTCTCAGGTATTATAGCTGCTTTTACTAATCTAGTTTACTTGCATTATTACACCATGGCATATACAAAGTGACAAAAATCCTAAAACATACAACAGCTTGCAACCTAGCATTGTAACACTTTATGGTAATTGATAGTTATACTCTCCATTATTAAAATCACACTCTTTATATCATTGTATTATTTTTATTTCTTTGATTATTCAAGGAGCTTCCAGCAATTCTAAACCAATCTATTGCCCAAAGGTGCATTATTGGGTTTGTGAGAATAACAAAAAAATGTTAACATTAAAAAAAATGTTATGGCGTTAGAAACCTGCATATTCTTGGTCGTTTTTTTTTAGGCTACATTTGTCTGTCTTTAGTTAAAACAATATCTAATTTTATCAATGCAAATCTGACACAGTCAATACTAAACTGATCAATTAAAGAAAAATACAAAGATATCAATAAGTAAATTTAAGCTTTTAAGATACAAAAACAAACTAAAAAGTGCCTACTACAGTATAATGATTAGTGAGCTTATAAAAATTTTATTAATACAGCATGTTCAAGTATTCTTAGATGCCAATAAGACAATATTTTACTAAACATATGGGTAAGAATTATTGTATTGAAACCAATTTTAAAACTAAAATTATCTTAGATCTATTTTGGATTTTATTATCTTCTGTTCCTACCACCACCACCACCACATAAAGTAATTTGAGTAGTTTTAAAATTTATTCTTTCTCCTGATTTGAAATCAACCAAAACTTGGTCAGATTCAATGCACAAATGAGTTTTATGGTTAAACATTTGTTCTGAATTCAGTCAAATCTATATATTTAACTATATGAATTGGGATAAAATATGGATTAGAATTTTGATTCCTATTCATCTTGTCCTGTGGCGGACATGAGACAGAACCTGGGACGAGCACAACTGGTTGCGACTTGCCTTGTCCCCGCCAAAAAAGAGCCCGTATTTGCTTAGCATGTAAAGCTACTGCAGTTGAAATGAGGGAGAAAAAAGCACTTACCGCTCTGCCATAATCCGCCCCTCGGCCAGATAACGTAAAAAAGAATGAGGGGGACTTGCATTGCATTTTTATGCAATAAAGATGCAATGCATTATGGGACATGGACGCAATGAATTATGGGATCACATGAAGACGCAAGGGATTATGGGTATATGGACAAATATAAAAGCAACTACTTTTTTTCCCAGTGGGGAGTTCTTCGAGTGACGTTCACAGTTGGCAGCAAGAACAGTCTGTTAGTTTGATTTTGAGACAGAACTCAAGAAGGAATGACTCAAGGTTGAAATACCAGCTGGGAGAGCTTGAATTTACTCGCTGGTTGCTGTTTTCTTTATTCGCCTCATGTCCAAATAATGAAATTACATCAATACGACAACTCTAAATCCATCTATATAAATAACTCCTATTATTAGGTTATTCTCTAAGAAGATATTTCCTACTCAACTGCACTGCTGAGAAAGTCATCCCTCAAAGCACTTATAAAGTACTCAAGACCACAACATATTTTCCCTGAATACATCCACAATTACCTAACATGTGCAGAACTCAAAAATAAAAGTAAAACATGTTAACTCTAAAATGTTTCCTATTTGTTCCTTATCCTATCATTCAAATATATGTAAGGACCTAAAAAAAAAAAAAATTTTAAAAATGCTTATGTTGGGATTAAAAAAAAAGAAAAAGAAAAAAAAGTGCATTATGTTTAAAAAAATGAATGTAAATATTTTATAATAAAGATTAAAGTTATAAATTGTAAAGATTTTATAGTAATACTAGCAGGCTTCACCCACTTGCTATAACTTCATAAAGTAAGATATATTCACTACTTGAAATCTTTGAAACAAAAATTTTAAATGAACATTTCATTCATAAATTAGCTTGTTATAGTTAAGGAAAGTTTTACAAATAGATGCCAACTGGTTGAAGACAAAGTAGAGCTGGGGCTTTTAACCTCAGAATTCATGGGAGAATTGAGTTCCAATTTCACATTTATTCATATAGATTCCATAATATAGGTTTTACTTAATTAGCTATTATGTTTCTCTAACTCTTCAAATGTTGAATGTATAACTAATTCTAATTTCTATTTTCCCATCTTTACACTATATTAATTTTATCTTATAAATTGTCCCGTTCTGTCACCCATGCAATAAAAATAATTGTTTGTACAGTAAATAAGGATCTATGTAAATCAAATCGTTTTTAAATTAAGTGGCAGCAGAAGAATTGTTGTTGAACTTTTAAAAGGTAGCTTAAACATTAATTCAATACTTAATTGCAGTGATCAATTTTGAGTTCTTCTGTAGTTTATTGATGTCTATTGCATCTCCTCTTCTCTAGCTATTGTGATGATGGCCAAACCAAGAGTCCTCTACAGGAGCTAGCTTAAATGCTACCCGATAGGGTGGGTTTTAAGCTAGCTTAAAATTTTAACAAAAATTTTGGATACAAAAGGAAAATAAGAGTTACTCCCCTTGAACTATGAAAGCAATGACAATGGCTAGTATAATATATTAATATATATTTTTAACCTCGCATAATCTGGCAACCTTGAATCTAAGCTCAACGAAAATCGTTCCCAGTGCCTAACTTTTCTAAGGCTGTTGAATGAGCTATGAATCAGTGAAATCAAACCAGTGAGGGTGGAAGAGTTGCTTGGACACACACAAGCACACACACTGTACTTTATATATAAGATTAAATAAGAAAAATGATAGCACAAAAAAGGACACTTGGTAAGCAAATGTATAAACAATTTTTTGGTTAAAACAATTTTGGGGTTCAAATTATAATAAAATAGCAAAAAGTAAAACAAGTAAAGCCAAAACTAGGTAGTAAGGCAAAAAACAAAACAAAAATAACAAAGAGATATTTACCTTCAAGTTTGAATTGTCAACTTCAAATCCATTGCCAATAGCAGCATAGTAACTGTGTCTCCAAGAAGCAATGGGAGGTACAGGAACATCATCACACTGTTTTAGCTGGATAGGTATTGTCACTTGCCAATATATTCGAAGCTGGCCTTCAATTACATCTTCTCCATTTATCTTAAAAAAATAAAAAAGTAAATAAAATTAATATGTATGATGTTGAAAGATACATTTAAATTCATGTTTAAACTTAGCGCAAAAAATTAATTTAAAAAGAATAGATAACAGTTTAAAATGGGAAAGCAAATGATTGAGCATTGTGTAAAGAGAAATGAATTATGTAAAGTCCTTCATAAATGTTAATTATTATTAATAAAATGTGTAGTATTTAGTTTATATTCCTTTCTCTCAACCTTAACACTATCACATACAGATTATAAAGTATAAGAAGAAAATATGTAAGGTATCAATAATCCTTGTCATTTGCATCCCTTCCCAAATTTCTGGTGGGTAAAAAAATAACATTTCTGCTTAATGTTTGTGTCTTTCAAGTTATAAGCCAAATTGAATTTATTTTAAAAAGAAACATTTTTAAATGTTGGCAAGTTCCAATTAAAACATTAATCTTTAGTGATGTTAGAGTTGTTTGTAAACATGAAATGAAGCCAAAAGTATATACTTACCTGATTCATAGTTAAACAGCCTCTCTTGCCTTCATAGAAAGCATTATATGACTGGACTTGTTCCAGTATTTTCTGTCTAATTAAAGAAAAAAAAAGAAAAGAAAAGAAAGAAAATTAAATCCTATGCCTTTGAAGAAGATGAAACTAAGTTTTTAGTTTAAGTTAACTGTAGAAGAAAAATGATGTACCAACCATTATTGTCAATTTGTTAAAAGTACCTTCAGGAAGTTCAAGTAACACATACATAACTTAGTATATGGTTAAAATCAATTCAGTTATTTTTTTTTCAAGGAAACCTGTTAAATATTGTTACTGAAATTACTTTAAGAATGCAAAAATGATAATTTCCTTTTTGATATGTCAAGTAAAAGAAAATATGATCAAGAGAGGTAATAACAGTATTGAATCAATTTTTCACCAATTTCATAAATAAAAAAAAAAAAAAAAAAAAGTGTTAGATGTTTCAGATAAAAATGATAAAAAATCAATTTCTTATTTTGTCAGACAAGAGAGTAGATATTTACTGAGCATAGCTTATTTAAAACCAGAAAATATTTTTAGACTGTAAGATAATAACGATTTAGTGATACAAGCCCTACTAATTAATCTATAGCTGGGGGAGAAGTGAATTCATACCTTTCCCAAAGGTATTTGCATGTAACAAACCTGACTGAAATTGGAACTTGGCTCTGATTTTCAATTCTGAGGCATTATCCATTATAACACCTGTACATCCAAGCTTAGAGCATCTGGTATTCACAAATGGTCACCTATCTAGATATTAACCAAGCTCAACATTGCTTAACTTTGGTGATCATACAAGAACCAGTCTTTAAACATATGGTTGTAAGCTGCTTCTATTTACTGTTGCTTAGAACAGTTAGTAATTGTTGTGATGATATAACCCAACTTCCCCATTCACGATAATGGACGGACTGGTTGCCGATTAAGTACGACCACAACGGACAGTCGTCAAGTCTTCGTTTGTTAACACCTATTGAGGTTAGCATACCCCTGACTGTCTCTGTACTTGACACACCTACATCCGATTATAAACCTATTATTGAAAACCAACACTCGGGTTACTTTGTTTATTATATTTTGCACGAGATATAACAGCTGGCGACGAGGATTGTGCAACGTACTTACTTGGAAAAAAAAAAAAAAAAAAAAATGTATATATATATCAGATTATGCTGAACGGATTTCGAAAGCAGATTCGCAAGTCAAAGATATCAGTTGACGCTGATTAGGATTTCGAAAGTGGAGTCACAAGTCAAAAGGAAACTTTTTGAAAAGTAAGAAAATTTTTACTGTTAAATTGTGATTTGACAAATATATATTGAACTGCGACTCAAATGTGAGCCAGTCTAATAATTGATTATTCAAGTAAAAAGTTACAGGTTGTAAAAATATTACGGCTGTAAATTGTCTGTTAACCGTCAAAAAAAAAAAAAAAAAAAAAAAAAAAAAAAAAAAAAAATTTTTTTTTGTTGAATTCTAAATAAAGTCATGATGGAGCAATTAGTCGAAATGACTAAAATGCTGTGTACAAGCTTGCAACAGCAGCAACAACAGCACCAAGAGTTACAACAACAAATATTGCAACAGCAAAAAAAGTCTCAAAAAAATTCTGAAACAGACGACTGGAGAAAGAAAAAATGCTGTTTTTTCTGCTGAAGGAATAGCAAATTCATTATCCGAATTTATATATGAACCTGATTCGGGCATTACATTTCCAGCATACTTTAAATGTTTCGAAACTATATTTACCAAGAGATGTCAACATTGGTCGGATGAGGAACGAGTAACATTATTAGTCCAGAAACTAGGGACAAACGAGAATACGAAGTACTCAAACTTGATATTGCCCAGAAAGCCAGAAGAAGTTTCGTTTGAAGAAACTATAAGTATTCTGTCAAAAATATTTGACGAAAGGAATAGTCTGTTCCACATGCGATACAGATGCCTAAACATCGTTAAAGCAGATAACGAGGATTTTCTGACGTACGCGGGAACAGTGAACTCTCTGGTTGAACAATTCAAGTTAGAAGAAATTCCCAAAGATGTATTCAAGTACCTAATTTTTCTTCAAGGACTCTTTATCGAAATGGCCTGAGGTAGTCAAGTGCAAGCATCCTACATCTAGGAACACCATCAGTGCATTGAATGAAATTTTCAGTCGTTTCGGGGGTTCCCAGGACATTGGTTAGCGACAATGGTACGGCGTTCACAAGTATGGAGTTTAAGGATTTCTGTACTGCCTTAGACATTGAACACATAACTACACCAGTGTGTCATCCCAGGCCGAACGGGCAAGCCGAGAAATTTGTTGACACTTTTAAACGTGCTTTACGTAAAAATAAAGGTATGGACACGGAAGAAAGAACTATTCAGAAGTTCTTAGCAATCTATAGGGTAACTCCTAATGAGAACAACGATGCGAAAATGTCACCGGCGGAAATTATGTTTGAAAGGAAAATTAGATCAATTTTCGATAGATTGTTACCCTATCAAAACAAAAAAGTTGCTAAGAAAGAGGAAAAAGTTAACATAAAAAAATACACTTCAGGAGACAAAGTTTTTTTTTTTAATTTTTAAAAGTGGAAAAAGCTATTGGATGGATGGCATAATCGTGGTCTACACGATTAAAAGTAAAAAATTTACGTGTAAAAGACACATCAATCAGTAGACCATGATATGGTGAAGAAAGTGAAAAAAGCGAAGAAGAAATTCCGACGGAAGTGTTATGCGATGCTTTTAACATGACACTACCCAATATAGTGTACATGAACCTGTATCTCATGGACCAGCCTTACGGGCTGAAAAGCGGAAATTATCTTCGCCAAAAAAGGATCTAATTGTGACGACTAAAAGAAGGAGCACACGGGAAAGAAAACCAGTGGAGCGTTTTAGCCCGGATCCAAAAAGAAGACGACATTAGAAGCAGAAATTTTCAAAAAGGAGAATTTCAGCTTCGTGGGGAGGTGTTGTGATGATATAACCCAACTTCCCCATTTACAATAATGGACGGACTGGTTGCCGATTAAGTACGACCACAGCGGACAGTCGTCAAGTCTTCATTTGTTAACACCTATTGAGGTTAGCATACTCCCGACTGTCTCTGTACTTGACACACCTACATCCGATTATAAACCTATTATTGAAAACCAACACTCGGGTTACTTTGTTTATTATATCTTGCACAAGATATAACAGTAATTTAAATGTGCTTTTGTCTATCTGATAGTAAAAGTTACTAATAAGCCAATAAATAATTAAAATAGAGAATTTCCCAGAGGACAGGTAAGAATTTGAAAGATTGAAATAGACATTAATATCTGGTCTTTCACAAAAATTTAAAAATATATATTTTTAAAACAGAACTGGCCTTAGATAGCCAAAGATCATCTTTAAATACCTCTTAATCTCTATACAATGATATAAACACAAAATAACTTATTACTTTAATTACAATTAATTAAAAATCATTTAAGATTGAGTGCTTTCTGTAGATTACTTACTCATAACTAATATATGTCCATACATTTTTAAATTGGGTCTTGCTGGAAATCCACATGAATAACATAACATTTAAGAGATTAGATTATTTATAATTTAATTGAAATGAGCCTCCCATTCCCCAGTTGATTAAACAATTTTGAGACAATCTTTTTCAGATATATAGCTATACACCTTTATTAGAAAACACACTTAAAAGTAATTATGAACATCAAGCAAGAATAGCAGTTAATGATTGATAAGCATTTATAAAAACTGCATGCTTGCATAATGTTTAAGTATGTACATTTAACGACTATTTTTTTTTTCAAATAAAGATTAAAAAAAAAAAAAAAAAGAATTTTAGGGAAAAAAGTAACTAAAGTAATTTTTGCAAGTAGCTAAGAATAAAAAGAAGAAAACTTGAAAATAGTAAAGAAAGAAAATGTGTGTTCAATTAGGAATCAATAATGCAGTAATACAAAGGATGTCTGAAAAGACAGGTATAATAACTGAAACATTATGAAAGAAACGAAGTAACTGGAGGTATGCAATACTTCTTATAACAGCCAAAACTGCTTTTAAATTGAGTGCCTGTGTATGTAATTGCCACCATAAAACAGTGGACAAATCTTTTATATAGTCATTATTGGATGTAGGGATCATGGCTCTTCAGAACTTCCTATCCTTTGTAACTCTAAGCAATGTTTATCCCTATACTATCCCTTCCAGTCAATGTTCTACCATCTATTTACAGTTTCTCTGTCTTGCCTTCAATATGTCCAGTGAGTGTTAAATTCCCCAAGCCACTTTTCTTCATTATGTATCCCAGAAATTTCAACTGTCTCTTTCTGATCCTAAGCAAAAGTGAAGGTAGAATAAAATTTTTGCATGTCAAGGACAAAAACTAAACAGAATTCCACTGTGAATTTGTTGATGCATATGGCAAACAACCACCCAACATAGAGCCAACCTGACAAAAGAGTGGCCCCAGCAATATGCTTAGGATATTCTACCACATTGGCCACATAATCTAAAAGAACCCAAACCACGGTTTTTGGGTTTGTTTTTTTTAAGTTTGTGCCCTTCAAATGACATTTATCCAGGAAATGGTTACACACTGAGGATAGTGGCTTCAGTCAGCTATCCAGCTCTTCAAGGAAAGTATATATGCACTATGGGTCAGATACATCAATCCCAATGGTGACTGTGAAAAAAAGTAGCATAGCAGTACACCTTGAAGAAATGTGGTAGTTAGCAAGTTAATAAGTTAACCATAAGTAATGAGTTTTAATCCTCACTGCCCATAAATTGCGGTCATATGTCAAACCAAGTAAAATTACGACATATACACAATGTTTTTTTTATTTATTTATATAACAATGAACATTCTAGATTAGTAAATGTTTTTTAGTTTGTATCTTTATTTAAACATCCTTTAGTTTAATCGAAAATGAAAACTATGACAATCCGAAACGATTGTTTTCAAATATCCAACCCAAACATACAAATAACAAATAGGGCCTAATATACGCCAGGAATTTTGTTTTATTTAAAAAAAAAAAAAAAAAAAAA